AGATGAATTCCATCTAGTATAGAAGCAGATGATCATTCACTATTTATTCACAAAGGGATACAGATATTATTTGATTTATTAGATTTTTATATATACTTGAAAAGTTTCAAAGCTATTTACGGTGTATGTACTCTATGGAGCGATGGGTTGGGAGGTCTGTATAGAAACAATGTACGATGAAAAACGTGTGATGTATAAATAGCAACTAGAAAATGCATAAAGAAAAATAGAATAGAAAAAAACATAATAAAACCATATTAAACAATATGCAATATCAATACAATAATGAAAATACACACTAAATCACAGATTAAGAACACTGTGGTACCCGTACTAGGTCAGACTGATCTTATGACAATGAACAATTGCCAGCCAGTGACAGTGTCAGCCCCCTCTTTCTCCCACAGCACATTGGTGTACATAAAAACCTATAATGAGTCAACCCACATAGAATTAGGGTTGTAAGAAGGCACCATCACCACCTCTTCTCTGTCCCCTGTTGAGGGTTTAATTTGCATGAGACTTGCTTTCCAGAGTTCATCATCACTATTGGGGAAACTAGTTTTTATTATCATCCTCCATATCATCCAGGAATAACCAATATGGTATCCTTCCGATTTTTTGGACTCCAGTTTGCATCAGTCCCAGCCAGTGTGGCCCATGATCGCAGATTGTGAGGGCGGTATTCCAATATTGGAGGACAAAATGCTAGGTACCCCTATGTTATGCTCTTGGTGATTTGGTGAGAGAGATGTCTGCAATAATAGCTTTTCATATATACTTATAGACTTGCACATTTACAGAGGGGGCATATAGCTCCACAGCAGAGTACATTGTTATGCCACAAAGAAGGTCCTGCAAGCCCCATAAAAGGATATCAGGAAGAAGGGCTGGGGAAAAACCTCAGCTTAACTTCTTGGAAAGCTAAAGCCAGTCAGAGGGAAAAGCCCTGGGACTGGAAGGGCCTTTTTCTGATTCAGCTTAACATGCTTATACCTAAATCAAGGGTGGGGAAACTGTGATCTTCCAGATGCTGTTGAATTCCAACTCCCATCAGCTCCAGCCAACATGGCCAAAAACCAGGGATTCTGGGAGCTGTAGTTCAACTATATTTGGAAGGTATCACATTGGCTAAACATGATCAAAGCTATATATGAAGCCCCAGACAACCAATCTTGACCTCACTGCAGATGCCATCATAAGGTTTCCTGTTTGTCTAGTCTATCTCAGTTCCCCAAAAGAATCCTGCCCAAGTGACCCTGTCAAGGTCACACACATGTATTCTAGCAGTACCTACTGGCCCATATAATATTGGCTGGCTACTGGCCCTCTCAGTTTTGTCTGAAGCACTATTACTGAATTATAAAGTGTGCATTTGGAAAGTAATATTTTGTGTAATATAATGGAAAATAATGCTGGATTTTGTTACTGCATTGACTCCTAGAGAAGGTGAGATTCAGAACAAGGAGAAATTATTTTACTATGCAGGCTAAGAGATAACTGCACTTTATGAATACAACGTTAATACAGCAGAATGTGAAAGAGTTTCTTAGATTAACAGAGAACATTGGAACAGGAACAATGGATATAAAGTGCCCATTAATTTAGGCTGGCGATTAGAAGGAAACGTCTAACCGTTAGAGTGAATTTTCAGAATAATCTCCCTAGAACAGCCACAAGAACTAAAACATTTTATTAGTTTTTAAACTGAGCACAATAAATTCATGGATGGTATTTTATGACTCTTTAAAACTGTGTGGCCTTTGTTTTCATCAGAGTTAAGCACAACTAACTTTCTCTAGATCAAAACCATCATCCACAGCCATTCCCTTGATTGCAGTAACAGGCAAAAGCGGCCACTGCAATTACAAAAATTGCTGTAGACTATATCTGTAATTGGCTAGTACACACATTATATTTGCGACTTAAGTGTGTCTCGGAGAACAGTCCTGCCTGTTTATGTGTACAAAATGTGGGGTGACCAGCCTCATATAACTGACATACTCATGTCTAATGCACGAGGGGTTAACACCATAGAGTAAGCTGTCCTGCCAGGTTTAGTTATGTCCACTTTCCCTCACCTTGGGAAGGATTATGTAATCAAGCCCTTGTTTTAACCAAGCCAAGTTCTATTGCCTGTGCAATTTTCTGCAGCGCATGAATCTGACCTTTGGAGTTTGTAAGTAAACCATTTTTTAACTTAAACTTGGAAGTAAAACATTTCCACGCTTAACTTTACTGCATATTTTGTGATTTTAAATCTCTGCTAGGGTTTTCTCAATAAAGAGTACTTGCCCCAAACCTGGGTCTTGGCATCCATGAATTCTCCTGTTTATATGCTTATTTTTCATTCCACCAACACAAAAAGGGCGCATTCATACCCATCATTTTCAAGTGAATGTGTGCACAAACCACCACAGGTCAAACTCCACAGAAAGAACCTCCCACCACCTCAGGCATAAAGGGCAGAATTCACCTAACCAGCCACGTCACTTCCACCTGCCCTCTGCACCCCCACCCCCAAAATTGGCTCAGGGGTGTCAGAGGAACCCCCAGAACAGCATGGGGAAGAGAGGAGGGGGTATCTTTCCAGCTAGCAAGATGCAATGCTTGTGCAGAGTGAATTGTTGCAAAAGCACAACATTGAATTCCACCCAAGACGTTTTGCACATTCAGCTGCAAATTATCAGGTGTTGACGATCAAGCGAAGTGCATGTGTGAACCTGTCTCTCAGCCTTTCAAAACAAAGATTCATAATATTTAAACCTATTTGTATGAATAAACCATTGGAAAGGTTATACACTTGCCCTTCAAAAAGGTACCCATCTGGTACCCATCAGCCACAGCAACTGGCATGATCTACACAGCTAACAGCTTGACTCAGTAACAACATCAAGAGTAATTTCATGACAACTTATCATCAACTTAGCCTGTGATCCTCCTGTGCTCCACCACTCTGTAGCTCTGTGCAGCTTCTTACAAAACTGGGAGAGCTGAAAAGGGCAACAAGAAAGTCTATTCCTGCCCCCGCAAGAGGGGTAAGGCCGTATTATAGGATGCTAGAGGGTTTCATTATACAGTCTCTTTTCTCTCCGCTATTTAAGAGGCAAAGGGCTGCCCCTCCCCTGCTAGAGACAGGGAAGGGATAAACGAATGAAGGATGGCATGGTCAAGGATTCAACCTTGTTATCCAATTCGAAATGCAGCCAAATGAGATAATTATGGTGAGATATTGATTCTCAGCAACATGCCCAATGAATGCCAAAGCAATAACTCTCAGCTCAATCACAGGCGCTTCCTGAGCCTTACACTAACCAGAGGAATATGTCTGCCTGCCTGACTTTGTACCAGGAGCAACAAACAGCAGGTAAAGAGCCTTGGATGCTAGCCTATCCCTCTAATTCCCAGCAGCCATGTCTCAACAATCCTTTGCTAAAGTTGTTGCATTCAGCTCTCACTTGCAGTGCTGCCCATCACAATGGTGGTGGTAGCAATACAAAAGGAACAGAGGCGCTTTCATGTGAAAATCCACTCTTTACTGCTGAATCAGAGCAAATGGCAATCCATGGAATACCCAAGTTGCCGTTGGTTGTGCTTCAGCCTTAAAGAGCTGATTTTTGCAGGGAAGCTCTAGGGCAGAAAAAAAGAGCGCTTAGACACAGAGCTTTAAAGCGCAGGTCTGTGCCTGGAAAGTGTGGGGCAAAAGTGTGGGCAAGCCCTGCGCTGAATTAAGTCTCTTGACTTGGGACACCAGAGCTTTCCCAAAGATTGCTCTTGCGATTTTGGGCAGATTGTTATGCATTGCCTCACAGTGCTTAGTGCTAAAATTTGTTCTCACATAAATAGAAACAAATGATCCATTTACAAATTATCTACATACAAAATATGTGCATGGATGGCCCTTAAGTGGGGATGGGTAGAAATGCATTCAGTTCGCATCTTAATGCAAACCCACCCAAGTGACAATTCTTGAACTATTATGCAAACCGAAGCCCAGTTACTTCTCAAAAGAATGCACTTCTCTGGATTTTCTAATGCAGTTCTTCAACCAAAATATGTGCACAAAAAAGGAGGGAAATTAGGGGAAAGGGCACACAAAAATGCATGTTTTGATGAAAATAAAATAGAAAAATACATTACAGGAAATTGCTTGAAGTACATGCACTGCATACAAAAACAAGTATCTTAGAAGAAATGCCAATGAAGTGATTGAATTTTTGTGCAGATTTAAAAAACAGGAAAAAACACACCCTGATGTGGTCATGGAACAAGCTGAACTTAAGACACAAAAAAAGGAGTTGAGAAAAAGCAAAATTAACCATTCCTACCTTCAAGTGCTGGTACTGGTATGCTATATGCAAAAGAACCTGGTCACACTTTTCGCACAACCACCTTCTGAGATATAATATCCTGTGGGTTTGGAGAGGGTACTCACTGTGTGAGGAAACCTTGCAAGGGTCCTTCTCCAATTCCGGGAAGCAGCAGGAGCCAGTTAATCTGTTAACTTCAACAGATTAACACTCAACAGCAGCTGTGGCCTGCTGCAAAAGCAAGGTGAAGGTTCCAATCAGTTCCCCTTTAACTATGGAAGGAACCATACCCAGAAAGGGGAGGGGCGTTTCTATTACAGACCAGATGTGTCTATTAAAGCGACAGCCCTATGTTGCATTCATCAACCTTTGCAATAACTGTTACTGACTCAAAAATGACAAATATCTGTATTGCTGTAGATACTTTTATTACAGTGGTACCTCGGGTTAAGAACCTAAATCGTTCTGGAGGTCCGTTCTTAACCTGAAACTGTTCTTAACCTGAGGTACCACTTTAGCTAATGGGGCCTCCTGCTGCTGCCGCGTCACCAGAGCACAATTTCTGTTCTGATCCTGAAGCAAAGTTCTTAACCCAAGGTACTATTTCTGGGTTAGTGGAGTCTGTAACCTGAAGCGTCTGTAACCTGAAGCGTATGTAACCCAAGGTACCACTGTATTCCATATATAGTGTGTGTGTGTATGTGTATGTGTATGTGTGTGCGCGCGCACACACACACGCACACACACACACACAGAGGAAGAGGAAGAAGTAGAAGAGACAGTCCACACTCACTATATGAGATAACTCACTATTCCCATTTTACAGCTGCAAGTTGGGAAACAGAGAGGCCCAATGCCATCACTACATCCAAGACTAACAGAGATTTGAACTTTGAACTTCCTTTAACATTCTATCTTCTGGACAAACCAGCTTTTTGCATCATTATCCCAGCTTCTGACTCTGTCCAGTTTCACCTATTTGAGCCAAAAATCTAATTTAAAGTGGAACTATTCAACAGCGACTAGTTAGGACTCGACCCTGTACACATTCAGATTGGTGAAGCAGCAAATATTTTACAACATGAATACAAACTCAACATACCAAAGTGCAGGAATTCTTATTTTGGTGTAGTATGATTAGAGTGTCAGACTGGGGAAACTTCAGTTCAACCCCACCCAAACACACACACTGTTAGCCATGAAGCTTACTGGGTAACTGTGGTCTACTCCAAGAGTGGCAAGCCAGTGGTCCTCTAGATGCTGTTGGGCTAAGATTCCCATCAGCCCCAACCAGCATGGTCAAAGGCCAGAAACGATGGGAGTTGGAATCCAACAGCATGCTTACGTTTTTGCCATCCCTGGTCTAATAATTACCCCTCAGCTGAACCTCCCAGGATGTTATGAGGATTAAATTGGTGAGAGGAGATCCCTGTATGCAGCTTTCAGTTTCATGGAAGAAAGGTGGACTAGAAATATAATAAAGATAATACACGCATTATCTATAGAGTGCTGTCGAGCAGAGGCAGTGAAGCAAGACACAGCCATTATGTGTGAAGGCAGCACAGGTAAAAAGCTTTCAGATGAAGAACGTTCCTTAAAATGCAGGAGTTGTTGCAATTTTACTGCAAATTGTACATTAAGCCAGTCACTTCATGTAGCCAGGTCTCCTGCTTATTCTCGAACAAAGCAAAAACAAAAGAACATTTAGAGAGGTTTACTCCTCCAAACAGTTTGGTCCCAAGCACACTTCACAACAAAGTCTCCCATCAGGCCACTGAAAACTCTGACTGATTATTATTTGAAATCTGACGCCTCCAAAAGCAAGTTACAAACTCTTCACCAATGGAGAAAATATTTGTTTCGTTTACTCTAATTTTATTAGATCTAATTAAAAGTTCACATGTGTGGTAAATGCTTTTTTAATTGCGGCAAGACGAGAACATTTGAATTGTGCCTTTGAAGAGAAAGTACAGTTAATTAGGCTAGTACAGCTAGGGTACTATTTCTACCTATTATTTGAAAAACTGTGCACTTTCTAAGCAGTACTAATGTCAGCTGTAGCTTTAAAACAATTTGCTCCAATTTAAAAATAATTTCTGTTATCCTTGCTGAAGGGGAGCTGACTTCTAATGAAAAGTGTTAGATTGACAGTGAAGAAGTGAAATGCCACCTTGTGTTCTCCTACAAAGTTGGCAACTGGGAGGCAAACTTCCCACACATTGCGGAAAAGGCACCTTTGCAAAAGAGTGTGCGAGAGAGGAAGGTACTGTGCATCTTCCACAAGTGACATGAAGCTATGGACACAGATGTGCGCACACACAGTTTGTAATGCACCACTTCTGAATATTAATAGCCTATGGAAAGCAGGGAAAATACACATTTAAATCAAATGTACATTTAATCCAGTCTCCCTCTGCCCACCTCATCCCATGTGGTTTCCTCTAGATCCCTTGGAGGAAAGCAGACACTCTTGGATGAAACCGATTATCATGACTCATTTCAATCTGCATTCAGGCCTGGTTATGGAACTAAATCAGCTTTGGTCACCATGATGGGTAAACTTTATTCATACTCTCCAACATTTATCCGATGAAAATAGGAACGTCCCATTCCATAATTATAATTTTACTATTTATACCCCACATATCTTATTGAGTTGCCCTAGAACTCTGGGCAGCTTCCAACATATATAAAAATTAAAGCATTAAACATTTGAAAGAACAAAAACTTCCCTGTACAGGATTGCCTTCAGATGGCTCGGGAGTTGGATAACTCCATACCCTCCAACATTTCTCCAATGAAAATAGGGACATCCTAAAGAAAAGTAGGGCATTATGGGATCAAATCAGAAACCGGGAGGGCTTCTCTAAATCAGAGACATCCCTGGAAAATAAGGACATTTGGAGGGTTGGCTTTATTGAGAGGACAGGATAGGAACAACCCTGTTATTCTTACTTAATCTCTTAATGGCTTTTGATACCACTGACCATGAAATCCTCCTCAACTGACTTGGTGAGATGGGTAATGGAGTCACTGGCTGCAATCCTATCTCCAGGGTCAGTTTCAGAGAACAGCATTGGGCGATTATCTCTCAGCACCCTGGCAGTTATGCTGCTGGGTGTGGCATGATACCAACTTGTCCCCAATGCCATGTTCCTCAGCCTCGGTTATGTCCTGATCTCCAGCAGCAAAATCAGAGGCCTGGTCTGACTCTACAGCCTCTGGCTCCAGGTCTTGACTGCTCCTTGACTCTGGGGCCACAACACAATCTAGTATTTGACATAGGTGAAGTTCAAGGAAGGAATGTGTGATCAGGGGTAAATAGAGAAAGACTATTGTTTGGTTACCTCTGCTTATGCTTAGATACAGTAGGGCATGGGAAGTAGGGGATATTATTTTGGGGAAGGGTTCTGAAGGAGGTAACACATAGGTGTTCTGGAAGGCTGTTCCAAGCATTTAAGACAGCAAGGGAGAAAGAACAAATCTTTTTGAGAAGCAGGAAGTGTCCCCCACCTTTTTACCAATTATATTTGATTCACAGATGTAAGAAATGGGCTTCTGAGCTGAAAAAAGGCATCTTGCATGCCTGTTGTCTGTTGACCACATTTCTCTGAGCAGAAGGGATACATGTATGCAAGCATGTAAAAAATCTCCCAAGCATGTGTGTCTCTGTGTGGATGCGCAGAACAAGTAATGGTTCATTATTACTTTGCATGCCCATCCATGCACAAAGAGCCAAGCAAGAGGGGAAAGGGTGCAACTGAGATCAATCGCCTCCTTACCCTGGCTTACATAATTTCCTGTGGGTAATAACCAGCCCATTCTTCTCTAATGTGTATGCAGTTGAACTGAGTCGCTGCCCTCTTTTTGCCCTATGTCTTGGGACAATTATCTTTTTCAGCAGCCACAGGAGGAGGACAAAGTTGCACTAGGATACTGTGCTTTAGGTTCAAATCTACATCACTGGACAGGAAAGCATAGCTGTAAGGTTCTACAGACTTTCTACCCTAGAAATGCCTATAGGGCATATATTATGGGGCCGTAGAGAATTCACTATCAACAGAAATCTCAGGATGTTTTAAATTATGGAAAGGATGCTTTAAGTCATGGAGACATAGTAAAGAGATTGTAATAAGAAATTTATGGAGTCCTGGGCAAATGATCTTCAAGACTGTGGGCACTTTTTCACATAAGATAGTTAAAGTGGCTTTTCTTTCAGCTGGGTTTCAGCAGCTCCAATGTTAAGCCTGCATCAGGCAGCACGCTCGTCTGCATTACAAATGCCTCTCCTATTTTTCTTCCGCATAAAAAATAACATAAATAGCACAAAAGAGGCTTGACAAGAACAATTTAAGCCTTGTGCATGTGAAGCACCCAGTATTTGAAATGATCTGGAGGTGGGAATCGTAGGCCTCTGTTTCACCAGCAGACGGCCAAAGAGGGAGGCAGCCCTCCATTGCAGCAAGTCTGACTCAGGAAAAGGCTGCTTTCTCCATCGAGGTTCTTCCAATGCCTCAGTGACAAAAAGCTCTATCCATTAATTACCATTTGCAATGCCAAACAAGGGGAATTCTCTAATGAGAGATAGGTGGTTCTGTTTATTCATTACTCACTCTCTTCAAAAGCTTGGCTGTGCATTGATCCCAGGGTCAGGGCAGGCTTACCGCCAACATTCAGCTTACAAAGCAGAGCAGAATGGGGGTGGAGGTGGAAGGCTACGGATGCTTGAGGACTGGTCCACATTTCTAAGCAAACCAACCTGATTGACATTTCTTGGACTAATATGCAAAGTGGAACAGTAAACAATGTGCCAGTGTGATGCAGCAGGGCAGAGGAGGCCAAGTTCAAATTTGGCCATGATCATCACTGGGTGGCCTTTGGCCAGTCACTATCTGTCTCAGCCAAACTGACCTCAAAAAGCTGTTCTGAAGATAAAATAGAGGAAGCAGAGGACCATATATGCTGCCTTGAACTCCTTAGGAGAAAGGTGGGATATAAATATCACAAATACATAATAAAATAATCCCATTTCTCTGGCTTTGCAGCACTCTTCACAGCTGAAAAGAAAAAAGTACAAAAATCCATATTTTGTTTTAATGCATTTTTAAAGAAGTATAGAATGATGTGAGCACAAGATGAGACGAACTTATCAATATATACATGCAAAACTGATGTGGACTAAAAATACACTCATCCATCTATTCCTACGGGGGTATTGGCCTGTAAAAAAAAGGAGTCCTTCCATTGCAATGAACTATACACACTCCAACCTGCCCCAGAGCAGAACAGAACGAGTCCCCCTTCTGTGCAAAACTTCTGTGGGCTGCAGTGAGTGCTCCAGTGGGGATTTTTTTTTCTTGATGTCTCCTACAAAATGTCAACTTGGAATGAGCACAATGCTCAGGATCAGAAAAGTCAACAAACAACCAGAGTCGGCATCAATAAGCAGCTTAATGATTTGCGCAGAGATCTTCATTAAGAGGATTAGGCTTCTATTATCCAGCACCCAGAGCAGCCTGCACTGTTCCTCTGGTGGCTCTTTGCCCTTTTTCTGACTGGCATTGTCTGGCTCGATCGCTCAGCTCCTCTCTCTCTGCCTCTTTGTTAGAAGAAAACATTGCAAAGCCTTTGACAAGTGCAGCAACTTTGATTTGTTGCCAGTCAGCTGTTGACAAGTATTAAGACGAAGCCCTTAAGGAGCCTCCACAGTGAAGCTCCTCCTGCCCATCTTGGGAACTCTGCCAAGCATTTCAT